TCGTCTCCCGGGGCGAAGATCTGAACTGTGCTTGCGCCCGCCCAAAGATCCCTTTCGGCCGCCCGAGAAATTTGCAGATGTTCGGACGGGAGCGCGCGGCGGAGACACAGGTAAGTATTAACTCTTTGCAAAAGTTTTTTTTAATATATAATTGTTTTGCACATATCTACTGCTTGCTAATAGATATATGCAAAAAAACGTGAGGGTTTAATTAACCCTTTAAGCCTGGGGCACTCCATCCTTCACACTGTGCCTGTATCATGTGTATCACAAGGCTCCACAGCAACCAAACATAGTAATGTGCAATGTGGATGACAAACCCCTTTTAATGACAGTGATGTGCCACATGTTGTTTGGAAGAGATTCCATTGCTGCATACAAAAATGTCAGGATGTGTAGGAGAAAAAAGGACAAACAACTGCAACGTAATGTATTATTACAATATTCTATTGTGTAAGCAACACCTTTATTTTCTGGTAGTACGCCGGGCACCGAGAGCTGATGGCATCGGCACCTGGTGGTTGCGGCATTCAGGATTGTGGGCGGAGTTGGACTACATGTCGCAACCATCGGGTGCCAATGCCATCCGCAATTAAATCGGCTCCTGGCGGTTGCGACATGTAATCCAACGCAAGTCCATAGCCCCATCGCACTCCTGACCGCACAATCCCTTTTCAAGAAGCGGGTGCTACGGTAGTTGACGGATGGCAGCCGTCACAAATATGAGAAAAAGTAATGTAATCCAACGCCTCCCACAATCTCCCTCTTCGTCTCCTCCACGGTGTTGGGAGGAAATTACATAATTCTTAGCACTCTATGGTAGATAGTCGCACAGGAGGGAGACATCCTACCATGCACTTCTGGCCCTGAGTCTAACTCATCTGTCTATATACACATACCTTTTTTTGTAATATATATGTGTGTGTGTATCATTGCATACCGCATTACTCTCATATTTGTAATCTTATTTATATATAACAAAAAGCTGGATATGGAAGCATATGTCTCTAGGTTAGAGACTGGATATAAGGAGGAATTGCAGTCCCTGAAAACAGACATCATGCAGATCGGTGGTCGGGTGAGTGAACTGGACGGGGTAGTGTACACATTCTCTTCGCGCTTAGATAGCCTTTAGCACGAATTTAATGATCATAAGAAGCAGGTACAAGATCTTGTATATCAACTAGATGATATGGAAAATAGGAGCTGTCACAACAATGTGCGCATTCGTGGTGTTCCAGAGACAGTTGGCACCTCAGATATACTGCCTACTGTCAAGGCCCTGTTTAATAAATTATTGGATAAATCTTTGGACTCAGATTTAATAATTGACAGGGCACGCAGGGCACAGGGACCTTTAAAAAATGACCCTCTTAGACCCAGGGACATTATTTGTCGTGTGCATTTTTTTTTTGGAAAAAAAAAGCACCAGTAACGCATGACGGCTACACAGTGAATCTCCTACCGGACTTATCACGTCAAACTCTGTTACTTAGGAGAGCTCTGCGCCCCCTACTAGAGGGGCTGCGAGAGAGGGGTATTAGATATCGCTGGGGATATCCATTTCAAATGGTGGCTCAGAAGAAGGGCAAATTTGCCTCATTTAGACAAATAGGGGATCTTCCTCACCTTCTAAGCACCATTTTCCAATTATTTCTATTCCGGATTGGCCTATGAAACCAGCTTCTTCTGGGCTACCCAGCGCAAAAAATGGTCTTCAGTTGGTCCCATGTGCTCTTGGAAATCTCATTAAGCTGGTATAGGCCTTATTCAGACAAGTATTAAGGTTGCCCAGGTCTCTAAGATATGTATTTGCTATTGAGCTATATTGATATCTAAGATAAAGCAATTCATTTTGATTATTAGATTCCTATGGAGACCTGGGCACCTATTGCATTTCTGGGTTGATGTTCGATTGGTAAAGGACTTATTCGCTTTGATGCTTCTACACCCCCTAGGCGGTTTTACCGCTATCTCGAATATCATATGCAGATTACCCCCCATATTCGGGGTTCAGCATTCAAGAATGTTAATGAGTATAATGTTGTGTTATGTTGTCGTGTGCTTTTCTTTTTTGTTAGGGTCTCGAGTGGTCAGGATTCATTATTCATATACCCTTAATGGAATCAGGCATGGGTAAGTTCAAAGTGGCTACCTTTAATACTAGGGGTCTAAATATACCCGAAAAGCATTCCCAAATTTTAAATCATTTTCACAAGCAAAGGGTTGACCTCTTGTGTGTTCAGGAAACTCATTTTAAGTCTGGATTTATTCCATATTTATCCAATAAGTATTATACACAGTGGTTTCATAGCACCAATTTGAGTACCAAGTCTAAGGGGGTGTCTGTTGCTGTTCATAAAAATGCCCCCATAAAAGTATTAGATACAGAGTTTGATGAGAAGGGCAGATTTTTATTTTTGAAATTTGTATATGTTAATCATTTATTTTTCAGGGGCAGATGCGGAGGGTCTCAGCAGGGGCAGATGCGGAAGGTCTCAGCAGGGGCAGGGACCTCAGGGCAGATGCGGAGGGTCTCAGCAGGTGCGGAGGGTCTCAGCAGGGGCAGGTGCGGATGGTCTCAGCAGGGGTGATGTGTGGGCCAGCACTGTAAACAGGTGCCACAGTTGTCCCCTGGAAGGCTGCCACGAGGTCCCCAACAAGTGTGGGACCTTACGGCAGCTGAAACTAATTTACAAATGTAATGTGCCATGTCTCCTCCAATAATGAGGGGGCTGGGACCAGATCTCACTGCCCCTCCCCCCACTTTGGCTCTGGCACGGTAGGTGCACCCCTGGTTGGTTGCTCACCTTGCCAGCGGCAGCCCTCCTAATGCAGTGACCTAGGACACATGCCCCCCTTAGCTTCAGACCTGCATAGCAAACTCTCACCCTGGACATCTGTGTCACGTACCTGATGGAGCTTGAGATGACGAGGGCGGCCCCTCTCTTGCAACTCTGCTCCCAGAAGGCCTGATAGAGAAGACAGGTACTCTGGGGCACAGCAGGGCACGAGTTTCTGGATGAGGACTTCGGTACCAGGTGGTAACTCGTACGGTCTCTTGCTGTGAGAGATAATATAAACGCACAGCAGGGAGGCAGGCAGAGAGTAAACGAAGTCAGGCAGACCGGGTCAGCAATGTGCAGGCAGAGAGGTTGTATAGCAGTAGGCAAACTCGTGGTCGGGTCACAGGCCGGGTTTGGTAACATGATCATGGGTTCCGAGGTATCCAGTGTGGGGTTTGGAACTGAAGCTTGAGTGGTAGGCATATGAACTCCAGGAGAAAAGACACGAGGAAACATCCAAGCAGGGCGTGGTTGGTGGTTTCTTTCCGTTCGGCGTTCTCTTATACGTCTGTCGATCTGGATGGACATTCGAATGAGTTCATCCAAGGTTCCTGGAACCCCTGTCCGTGCTAATTCGTAAAACTGGAAGTAACCTTCTTGTAGTCCTTTGACTGCATCGGTAAGAGCCGAAATCTGCTGACATAGATCCTCCATGACCGGCCTGACACTGCGGGTCACGCCATGCGCACGCGCATGCGCAGACGCCATCTGCTGTGTGCGGTTTTCCTGACAATCTGACACTTCTCCTGGGCACCGTACCCCCTTTCCACCTCACTACATGATATACAATAAACGCTCCTCCCTTCACAGGGAGTGCCATCCCTCTCTTTAGCAAAGGCCCTTCCCTGGGTGTCGCATTCTTCTGGATACAGATCTGTCTTCAGTTCCTTCCCCCATGCACAGACGAAAACCCCTCCCTTCCCTGGGTGTCTTCCCCTCACCCTTCTCCTGGGCACAATACCCCCTCTCTGGGCATCTGACCCTTTTCCTGGGCACTGTACCCCCTCCCTGGGCATTTGACCCTTCTTTTAGGTACAATACTCCCTCCCTGGGAACCTGACTCTTCTCCAGTGCATAGCACCCCCACTCCCTAGGCATCTGACCCTTCCCCTGGACCAGGCGAGTCTTTAATACTAATTGAACTCTGGGCAAGCATTTTCTTTGGCCCTAAACGGCAATAAAACTCACAGTAATGTGCAGTGTGTGAGTGTATAGCAGAACTCCACAGCAATACAATGCATATTAAGGGCCCATTCACATCAATCGCAAAATTTGGAATTCCAGATTGATGCTGTGTGGAGGCTGAGGTGGATGTTCCTTCATGCTGAGGTCATCCCCAGTATCAAGCAACATTCAGCGGCTAAGGCCAGTCCAATACCTAATGACCGAGCACCATCCCCATCACTCAGCAACAACGAAAACAACCCCCAGTGATTGACACAAGCAACTGGTTACAGCCAGTCCAGTACCTCTGCACGAAGGAACAACAGCCTCCACACAGCATCAATCTGGGATTCCGAATTTTTGAACCTCAAAAATCATTCACCTCCAGGATCTGAACCCACCCACCACATAGTCTCCAGGACACCAACCAGCTCTTCACGAAATCCCGGCTGCTGATACTGCATCACAACTAACCAAACGGTGAGTTAAAAATCACACTCGTTTTACCAATATTCAAGAATCCTCACCCTTATTATAATTTCCACTTTGGTCCTCAAACATCACCACTCAAGAGGACCAACACAGCACCTCCGCGCATCATTACTACAATACCACAAACTCCCCAATGTTTCCATAATTGGAGCTTATGCCCACCCTCCTACCATGTGAATGTAATATTGTTTATACTCTTCATCCAATTTATTGCGCTAGGTTGTGGCACTTCGGTCTCTCTCCTTTCTGTTTCCTTAACCAGGTACCTCAACCCCACCAGGAAGTTGCAAAATTGGCGTATATAAGTGTTTTGGGATTGGTATTTTAGGCTTGGTGGTCAATGAACAAGACAAAGTAAGGTATTAGGTTTTGTCTTGGGGCCTTGTCAGTAAACTTATCATACTAGTAACCATACTTAATGGGAACTTATGAGCTATAAAATAGGATAAAATATCTTTATATATATATTTTTATCAAGAAATCAAAATTTTAGCATACTTAGTTGTCTTTTTTAGTTCTTCACTGACATGAGGGTGACCATGTGCTAGCCTTTCCTCTTCATTGTATAATCTTGCATTGCAGTGATTTTTGGCTTCCCTGAGCAGCATCAACCTCCTAAGTGAAAAAAAAAAAGAACAGTGTAAGTATTGCTAAATTGAGGCATATAATTGTAATAGGATTTAACAAAGATTAAAAAAAACACTTCAGAACTGGTTTTACCCTAATTGCACATATGAAACAGTAAATAACTGACACCTAGCAGGATCCTTATTAAAAGATAATATTTAAATATAGCAATAAAGCCCTCTCAATAGTGGAGATACCTCAGATAAAGAGCCAACACATTAATAATGAAAAAAAACATCAAATTTAATTAATTAGGTGTATTAAGACATACATCCACAATAATGTATTCTCTAAATTGCAACACCCCATCCAGATAAATAGTTAAAAAGATTTAAATATGGGATCCCGGTAATTGTAACCTTAGTGTTCCGGGGACCTGGCAGTAGCTGTCTTTGACACTGCCTACCAGGTCCTACGTCTCCTCCTCCTGATTCAAGTTGCAGGCACTGCTTGAGGCAGCCCCACACCTTGGATACAGCCTCGGAGCGGGCACGTGACCGACACGTGCTCCGTTCGGCTTACTACATTTATTTTTCACATTTTGGTGTTTTTAACTAGGGGTGATAGTGCGGTGTATTGTTTCAAACGTCCAGGAAGAACCGCTGTTGGAGGGGGTTGGAGACGCTGGATGTGCAGCACAGCACCTGTCAGAGCCTGTGTAGAGACCCTATAAGCAGCACTGGAGTGACCCAATAGGCAGCCCTGGTGACATCTGGACGCAGGCTGGTGACACTTGGACACAGGCTGGTGACATCTGGACGCAGCCCTGGTGACATCTGGACGCAGCCCTGGTGACATCTGGACGCAGCCCTGGTGAGATCTGGACGCAGCCCTGGTGAGATCTGGACGCAGCCCTGGTGAGATCTGGACGCAGCCCTGGTAAGATCTGGAAGCAGCCTGGCGGGATCTGGACTACATATGTCACCAGGCTGCGTCCAGATGTCACCAGGCTGCGTCCAGATTCTGAACGCAGCCTGGTGAGATCTGTATTTAGCTCTGGTGAGATCTGTATGCAGCCCTGGTGAGATCTGTATGAGACCCTGGTAAGAAATGGACGCAGCCTGGTGGGATCTGGATTACATATGTCACCAGGGCTGCGTACAGATGTCACCAGGCTGCATCCAGATATCACCAGGCTGTGTCCAAATTCTGAACGCAGCCTGGTGAGATCTCTATTCAGTCCTGGTGACATCTGTATGCAGCCCTGGTGAGAAACTGCCCTAAAATCCTTAGTCTGTATTGTTTTAGAAAAAATGTCACATGTCCCTTTAAGAAAAAGCATTGGTAATTGGTATCGGCAAGTACCTGAGGGCAAGTACTTGTACTTGGTCTTGAAAAAGTGGTATCGGGACATCCCTAATCCTGGGGAATGTGGCTGGAAACATTCATATGCTTTCAGTGTTTATGGTTCTAACCAATAACACTCTCACCTGACTCACAATTTTCACCTCCCATTCATACCCTCATGTCAGCTCTTACCTAGTGTGCAGCTACCCACCTGCATACAGATCCCTGCAGCTCACCCCTTCCTTCCTGTATTTAGATCCCCCTGGACTCAGTACCCCTCCCACCTCACTCCCCTGGTCACAGTGCACCTCTCCCACCTCCCCCCCCTCCCCCCTTCCCACAGTGCCCCTTTCCCACTTCACTCTCCCTTCTGTCCCAGCTACAGCGCCCCTCCAGGTTATAGCACCTCCATTCCATCCACCTAACCCCTGCAATCCCCTGCCAGTCACAATTCCTTCCTGCCACCCACCTTGCTCCCCCATTCTTGGAATCTCCCACACCAGTCACACCACCAATCTCCTATACACATCACTCCACTCACACACAGTTCCCCCCTTCCACCTACTCACCTACCTCACTTTCCCAGATCATAACGCCCTCCACTCACCTTACTCCACCAGGTTACAGTGTATCCCACCCACCTCCCTACAGGTTTCCTCAATCATAACTCCTTCCACAACCCACCTCACCTCCCCTTCTTCTCCCTAGTCACAGTACCTCACACTTATAGGTTGAACTCGATGGCAGGGATCTCAAGTCTCCCTGATGCTCCCTCTATTAGATAGCGGCTCCCTGACGTCCGCGAGAGAGGCATTTTCTCCCTGAAAGGTTTACTCTGAGACCTTACCTCTGGTAAGATATCAGTGGGTAAAGTTTCAGAGTGAGGCTTGCCTCCTAGAGGAAGGTCATGTGATCTCTAGAGTAGCCTCAGAACGAGGCTTGCCTCCTGGAGGAAGGTCATGTGATCTCTAGAGTATTGAAAAGCAAGAAGACTCCACGGAGATAACATCAGACAACCTACCGTATTTGCCGGCATATAAGACGGGGTTTGAGACCCAAAAAAATCGCCCGAAAATCGGGGGTCGTCTTATACGCCGGGTATACTTCGGTATACTGTATGTAGCTTCAGCTACATACAGTATACCGCGCTGAGCCAATCACGGCAGGCTTTCTATTCTTTAATACAAAGCCTGTATTAAGTTAGCAGTTAGTATTCTGTGTTATAGCTATAAGGTAAAACCAAAGAATGGTTCCTGAAATAAGGATAACAAAACTTAGGAATAAATCACAAACCATGCCAAACCTGACAAAAAATCCACATCTAAACCTCTTTAAGGACTTGGTACAAAAAGACCTTAAATCAGTAAATTGGTCACTAAGAGGGAAGGACAATCTCTCAAAATAGGAGAGGAGGGCATTACAAGAACCACAGGATACCCCAGGCATAATCATCAAGATGAGTGATTAGGGAGGAAATGTTGTCCTCCTGTCAGAAGACATGTATACAGGAGAAGTTAAACGCCTGCTCTCAGACGACCAAACATACAGGAAACTAGACAACTCTCCCTTCCAAGACCTGACTACTGAATTTAACTTCAAACTAAATATGGCCAAAGAGGTGGGCCTTTTATCTATCAAAGAATATAGATTCCTAAGAATAAAAGAATACAATACACCAACTTTTTACATTATTCCTAAGATCCATAAAAATAAATCCAACCCCCCGGGCAGACCTATAGTCTCTGCAGTGGGAGGCCCCTTAGAAAACCTAGGGAAGTACCTAGATACCCTTTTGAAAGATCTAGTCTTCGATCTACCCTCCTATGTGAAGGACACGGGGGGCGTCCTCAGGAAACTGGATAGGGTAAAGATAAAAAAATGGATGCCTCCTAGTTGGAATAGATGTGGAATCCCTGTATACGTCCATTCCCCATCATTGGGGATTGAAAGCAGTATACCACTTTCTGGAGCAACATTTTCCACAGACAGCTGCCCAAAATGAATTCCTAGTGGAGATGTTAGAATTTGCCCTCAACAACAACTTCTTCCAATTTAACAACAAATTCTACAAACAAATAAAAGGAACGTCGATGGGGGCCCCATGGGCACTGGCATATGCCTATTTACACCTAGGCCTATGGGAAAAAGAGGAAGTGTATGTCAACGATTGGTACCTAAAACATATACAATTATGGCTTAGGTATATCGACGACGTAATCATGATCTGGGAAGGCCCACCAGAACATCTGCAAAACTTCATGCAGGAATTAAACGAAAATGATAAAAATCTACGGTTAACATATACAGCAAGCCAATATGAGATCCTGTTCCTTGACTTACAAATAAGAATTGAGAAAGAAGAACTTATTACAAAAACTTTCAGGAAGGAGACGGCAGCGAACACCATATTACATGCCACGAGTCACCATCCAAAAACCCTAATACAAGGGATACCAACAGGTCAATTTCTACGAGTAAAAAGAAACTGCTCACTACCCATGGACTTCCAGAGAGAGTCTAAAGAGATGTATGACAGGTTCAGACAAAGAGGATACCCACATGGGACGTTGAGGAACAGCAAAATGAAAGCCAACCAAAAACAAAGAACTCCGATATTAAATAAAGGGGCAAAGAGAAAAGAGAAGAAAGAAGATTTTGAGGGCCCTGTCCGGATGATTACCCAATATGGGGCACAATGGGAGGACTTGAAAACAATCCTACAAAAACACTGGCATGTATTACATCTAAACCCAACCATAAAGGAAATAGTAGGTCCATATCCACAATTAATTGCCCGGAGAGCTCGGAACCTACGAGGCCACCTTGTCTCCTCAGAATATAAACCTAACACAAAGGACATGTGTTTAAAGGACGAAAGAACGAAAACTATCGGAATGTACCCCTGTCGGAGGTGCCAAATCTGTCCATTTGTAGTAAAGAGCAAAATATTCTACACCAGTGATAGGGAAAAAATCTACAATATAAAAGAATTCATTAATTGCACCACAAGTAGGGTAATATACCAAATGGAGTGCCCCTGTGGGAAGTATTACATCGGCAAGACGAAACGTCAACTACGGGTCAGATTAGGCGAACATCTGAGGGACATAAAAAACTTCCACAAAAAGACAGCAAATGTGGATAGCCCTATCGCCCAGCATTTTGACAGATTCCATAAGGGCAATCCAGAAGGCCTAAAAGTAAAAGGAATCTATGTCCTGAACCTCTCAGCTAGAAGAGGGGACTTCGATAGGATTCTAAAGCAAAAAGAAAAAATGTGGATGTACAGGCTAGACATATTAGCCCCTAAAGGACTCAATGCTGAATTCAATCTACAAGTCTTCCTATAAATTGAGATATACCCATTGGAAGTGAATACGAACACTCCTTCCCTATTCCTTATCTCTTATATCTACCTATACATATCCTTTACGCTATCTTGATATCAAATGCATTTCTCATAATTAATGGAAAGCTTTGATCCCTTACAAGCACAGGATTAATCTACCAACATTAATCCATTACCGACTGAATAATTCCATGAGGTTCCTTGTTCAGCTGCAACAGATAACTAGGTGATATGAACTGATATCTATAATCACCATTTTTAATCTATATTTATACTTTGTATAACAAGAGAAAAACTGAGCTTTATATGCAAACCACTCATACTCTCATACAATGCCGACTGTAGACCGGTA